AAAAGATAATGCCAATACAACATACCCAGAACTTATAAGATACATGAAACAGTCCTACAAGAGAAATTTATAAAAAGAAAAAAAAAAAAAAAAGAAAGAGAGAAAGAAAAAGACAGAGAGATGGAGACAGAGAGACAGAAATTTATAGCAGTGAATTTCCACATGAAAAAAAAACAGAGCAAGCTCAAATAAACAACCTAATGTGGAAGTTCAAGTTTTTAGAAAAGGAAGAGCAAGTCAAGCCCAAAGGGAGGACAAGGGAGGAAATGATAAATATCAGAGCACAAATTAATGCAATGGAGACTAAGAAAAAATACAAAGAATCAATGAATTGAAGAGCTGTTTCTTTGTAAGATTAAATAAAACTGTCACACCTTTAACTAACCTTATCAAAAAAGGAAAAAAAAAAAACATTCAAATCTATACACTGAGGAAGGAAAAGGGTAAAATCACAACAGATACTGCAGAAATCCAGAAGATCATCAATACCTACTTTGAGAAACTTGCACTTTAATAGGGTGGAAAACAGAGAAGAAATGTACAAATTCCTAGATACATATAAATTACAAAGGCTGAATCAAGATGATATAAAAATTCTAAAATAAGCAATATCAGTTAACAAAATTGAAGACATAATTAAAAACCTACAAAGAAAGAAAAGCCCAGGCCCTGAGAGGTTCACTGCTGAATTCTACAAGAAATTTAGAGAACATCTGATGCTGTGATTTCTCAAACTCTTTAATGAAATTGAAAAAGAAGCAACATTCCCAAATTCATTCCTAGAAACAAGCATTACCAAAACGATAGAATGACTCAGCCAAAAAAGAAAACTACAGGCCAATCTCTCTACTAAACATAGATGCAAAACTCCTCAATAAGATACTGGCAAACAGAATGCAGCAAACATCGAGAAGATTATACACTATGACTAAGCAGGATTCATCCCAGGAGGTGAGGATGGTTCAACATATGCAAGTTAATAAATACAATATACCATATCAACAGAGCCAAGAACCAAAATATGATCATATCAAGAGATGCAGAAGAAGAGATTGACAAACTTCTACACCCATTCATAAAAACCAATGTACAGCACATTGGAATAGATGGTGTTTAGCTTAATCTGATAGAACCCATCTATGACAAACCAACAGTCAACATTATACCAAACAAAAACTGAAAGCTTTCATTCTAAAATAAGGAACAAGGCAAGGATGTTCACTATCACCACTTCTGTATAATCTAGTATGGAACCATTAGCCAGAGCACTTAGAGAAGGGAAAGAAATAAAACAACAAGGATAGGAAAGGAAGAAGTTAAATTTTCACTATTGGCAGATGACTCTACAAACAAGACCCCAAAAACTCCACCAAAAGACTTCTAGAGTTAATAAACAAATTTAGTAGCACAGCTGGATATAAAGTCAACACTCAAAAATCAATAGTATTCCTGTACACAAATAAGAAACTCACTGAGAGAGAAATTAGGGAAACAACACCTTTCACTATAGCATCCAAAAAATAAAATACTTAGGAATCAATCTAACAAAGGAAGTAAAAGACCTTTACATTGATAATTACAGTACTCTAAAAACAGGTATCAAAGAGGATATCAGCAAATGGAAAAATATCCCCTGTTCTTGGGTAGGAGGAACCAACATAGTGAAAATGGACATACTTCCAAAATTATTATACAGATTTAATGCAATTCCAATCAATATACCAACAGCATATCTCACAGTATTAAAGAAAACAATCCTGGGGCTGGGGATTTAGCTCAGAGGTACAGCACCTGCCTGGCAAGCACAATGTCGTGAGTTCAATTCCCGGTACCGGAAAAAATAAAAAATAAAAAAATAAAGAAAACAATCCTGAAATTCACATGAACTAGAAGTGATTATAGAACAGCAAAAGGTATTCTGGGCAACAAAGGTAAGGCAGGGGGCATCATAATCCCTAACTTGAAATTATAATACAAAGCTACTATGATAAAAACAGCATGCTACTGGCAAAAAAAAAAAAAAAACCAGACCTGAGGATCCATGGAACAGATAAGAAGACGCAGAAACTCCAACCACATTCAGCCACCTTATCTATGACAAAGGAGCTAAACACCTTTACTGGAAGAAAGATAGTCTCTTTAATGAATGGTGTTGGGAAAACTGGCTTTCCACATGCCGAAGATTAAACCTAGGCCCATATCTATCACTGTGTACTTTAACTAAAATAGAAATGGATCAAAGATCTAAATATTAAAACAGAAACACTAAATCTGCTAAAAGACTGAATAGGTAAAACTGTTGAAGACATGGGTGTGGGCAAAGACTTTATGAACAAAAGCCTGATTGCACAGGAAATATCATAAAGAACCAACAACTGGGATCACATCATATTGAAAAGCTTTTGCCCAGCAAAAGAAACTGCCAACAGAATAAAAGGACAGCTCATAGTATGGGAAAAACATTTTGCCAGCTGTTGCTCAGACAAAGGACTAATATCTAGAATACATAAAGAACTCACAAAAATCAGACCCCCTAAATTTAAAGACCTAGTCCAAAAATAGGCACCTCAAATGAATAGACACTTCTCAGACGAAGAAGTAGAAACAGTAAATAAATATATGAAAATAAGTTCAACATCACTAGTCATTCAAGAAATGCAAATCAAAACAACACTGACATGCTGTCTTACTCCAGAAAGAATAGCTATTATCAGGAAATCAACCAAATACTGGTGAGGCTGTGGGGAAAAAGGATCCCTTCTCTGCTGTTGGTGGGAGTGTGGACTGGGTGCAACCACTGTGAAAATCAATGTGCAGATTCCTCAAAAAACTAAAAGGAGAGGTTCCATGTGACCTAGCTATTCCCCTTCTTGGTATACATATTACCAAAAGTTAAAAACATCACAGAACGTGGGTATGCATACCCATGTTTATAGCAGCACAATTTGTAATAGCTAAATCTTGGAAACAGCCTAGATACCCATCAACAAGACGAATGGATAAAGAAAATGTGGTTTTTATATACAGTGGCATACTACTTTGACATAAGCATAAAACTTGAGATTTATTTTAGGTAAATGGATGCACCTTGAGACCATACTTTTAAAAGAAATAAATGAGACACACGTTTAAATATCACAGTGTTTCTCTTGTGTGAGAAACCAAAAGTGTAAATAAGGAGCAAAATGGACGATAGAGATATTAGGAAGCAGTAAGAAAATGTTTAAATGGGAAGAGTGAACAAGCAAGGCAGGGGAGGAAAAGAAGGAAAGGAAGTGAAAAAATAAGAGAATATAATGAAAAAATGGACACAAAGCTTTTGTATGTAAGGAGGAAAAGAAAGGTTGAAGGGAGGAAGGGGGATGGGGAAACAAAGAATCAAGATGTTCTATCATGCACAGGTGCTACAATGACTGTGATCAATATGTATACCACAAGTGTACCAATAGAACTGATTTTTAAAAATGGCAATACTGTACAGAGGGTATAAGAAGTGACAATCCCACTGGGCCCTTTAAAGTAGCACCCACAATCTTCTGGGAGCCACTGCAGGAACATTGCCATGGAGGAACATTAGCATTCTCACATATTAAACTGACTTCCACCATTTCACTATCCTTAAACCCTTACTTCGTATGACGTATTAGACCATCATCAGCTGTGAGTTTAATGGAGTCTGCTTCTAAACATTCTAAGAAGAAAAGAGTAGCTACAGAGTTCTAGTTTTATAAAATTTCTCCTTTAGCTCCATAAGACAGTCATACGATTAAGAATATTCTATAATTAAAAAGTGTTTTTTTATAATTAAAGCTGTTTTCTAGACATAGTTGGAAAAATATTTTAGGAATATTAGGTATAAACAATAGTATAGCTCATTAAGCTGAGAACATTATTATTTTGTGGTTAATTTCTCTTAAATACAATAGGGAAACTGCAAAAGTACAAGCCACTCTTAACTTACGCATTTTGTACCAAACCCATCACCTAAAATATGTGACAGACCTGTTCTGCACAACAAAATAATCTACCACTACACTAAGCAGAAAATGCCTTCATCTTTATCAGGGAGTTACTTGGAGGCAAAGCAAGAGTTTAAAAGACTTGATTTACTGGGATGCTAAGAAGCAAAAGCAAATCAGGATAAAAGAGGAACAGCCTCACCTGTGCCATTGAACGTTGTGTTTTTATTTGTATACAGTCTGATCATATGTCCTATTGTTTTCACATTTTCTCTCAGCATTATACCTCGCGCTTGTACCATAAAGAGATATGTGTTGGCTAGAAAAGAAAAAAGAGAGAATGTCATGACACAGTTAAGTTTTTCTTATTTAATCAAATAAAATTCAGAATTAGTGAAGTACATAATAAACTGGTTCAATTATTATGCTGACAGGGAAAAGAAACGTAAAACCAGTTCCTACTTTAAAAGTCTACAGAAACTAACTAATTTTTAAAACAATAAAAGTGAAAAAAGTAAAACTGCAATATCCACCTATCGAACAGGATGAGCCTAAAATGAACAAACCAAAATATCACAATGAATCCTTTACCCTTAAACGATTTTTCTACTATAAAATGTATGCACTTAGTCACTTCAAAAGATACTTTATCACAAGTACTCAATTTCACAAGGGTAGGGATTCCTTATTTAACAGGAGATATACCACAAATCACCATAATCAAGTATGTTCACAGATCTTATAACTGATCTCGCAAACTCGCAATGTATTGTGGGGCAAGGGTGATCGAGAATCAGAATTTATTTTGGTAATTTCTCTCAAAGTGTTCACTACTTGAACTTTTATACTCCCTTTCCATTGCAAGTCTACCTACCTGGATGGTAAATGTGGGCAACATCAAAAATCAATGTGCATTTTAAGGTTGGCCAATTTAATTCTTTGTGCTACATACTTCAAAAGCACGCTGGTGCTTTCTTCCTGTGAGAGAACCTGGTCCACAAAGACTATCAAAGCCCCTGGGGCTCTGCACCAAGCCTCCGCAGGAGGGCAGGGGACTGAAGTCGGAAGGTTGGGTCTCCAGTCTGCCCTGGCAGTGCATGAATGGGGACAGCTCGCTGGATCCCAGTTTCCCAGTTTTAAAAAGGCAGCATGGCACCGGGTGTTCTCTACAGCCTGCACCACTCGAATCTGTCTCACCACAAAGCCAGAGAATCAGAACTCCACTCATACACGAGGCAGAAGCTCCTTCTCTTGGCAAAGCCAAAATGGCAAAGCTCGGTGCACCACTGTCAATGTGAAGAGCAGCTGCCGCTGAGCACAATAATGACACTGGAAAAGTAAGTGCTGAGTGAAAAACTAAGAACCAAAAACTAACTTTCTGGGCCCTGCTCTACCTCAAGATGGCAGAGAAGGGGCTGGGGATTTAGCTCAGTGACATGCGCCTGCCTGGCAAGCACGAGGTCGTGAGTTCGATTCCTAGTATGGGGTGGGGGGAGACGGCAGACAGACAAGCGAAACATTCATATTTACCACCTCCTTTCCCATTTCTCATGTACATTTGAACTTGCTCAAAGTACATATAAGCACACAGTAAATAGAACAGTACAAAAACAGAAAACTTTTTTTCACCTTCAATAAATAAGAGAAATAAAAAAAAAAACAGGTTTTACCTAAGCTTTACCTCAACCATTTTTAAGACTGTGACCACATGCTTTCTAGAAAGCAATACTACAATTAGACTTAACGTGCTTAGGCTTGCATTTATTACATTGGGTTATCACACCACAAGGTTTATTGCATTTCAGCACTTGAGTGAGCTTTAAAAGGATGAAGAAAAGAGACAAAGAGAAAAAAAGAAAACCAAGATATAGCCAGTCAAAAATGCAGAAAATGTTTGATAAAAGCCAAACTAATATGAACAATTCTACCTAAATCAAAATTTAAAGTTCAACAGAAATAAGGGGAAGAGAGACATCAAGTAGATTACCAATGCCAAATAGCTGACAGTACCTTGGATTTTTTTTATCTAACAATTATATACAAAATTTGTGGATATTTATTCTACACCAGACTATTCAAAGGCCTACCATAGAGTAGAATTGCCAGATTTGAAAAAAAAAAACCAGACTTACAAAAATGATACTAGCCTAAAAAAGGAGAGGTTAGGTAAGACCATATGTATAAAATTCTGTGTCTTAGAAATATAATTTCAAGAAAGTATAAAGCTTAAGGCTATAGGTCACAAAACTATTAAGAAAAGATTACTGATATTACCTGTTAACACCAAAGTGAATTACTTACCCAAATAGTTCATTTACTATTCATTAGATGGATTAAGAAAAAAATGAAAGAAAAGTTATAGACACCAAGCTCTCCCAATGAGAAATCTATTAGTTCATTTAAAATCACTTACAGCTAATTGAGTTACATTCTTTAGGTTAACGATCCTCATGGATTTAATCCCTAAAGATGAAAACTAATTCTGCAATGAAACGGAGTCTAACTACCTCACGACTGTTGGGAGGAAGAAAGTGATATACTGAACTGTTGGAAGAAACAAAAGAACACTTCTGATTTTCCGGTTTCCAAACATCACACCACAGTCAACTAAGTATTTGCTAGAAAGTATTAAAATGTAACATCTTATTAGCAAACTTCAAGAGGAAATCCTTGTCCAAAATGTCTGTTCTGGGGCTGGGGATTTAGCTCAGCGGCAAAAGCGCCTGCCTGGCAAGCGCAAAGTCATGAGTTTGGCTCCCGGTACCAGAGAAAAACCAAAAAAAAAAAAAAAAAAAAATGTCTGTTCTACTTTACTACTTTTTTTTTTTTTTTTTTTTTTTTTTTGCGGTACCGGGGATCAAACTCAGGGCCTTACCAGGCGGGCGCTTATGCCACTGAGCTATATCTCCAGCCCCACTATTCTACTTTATAGGAAACTACTATTCAGAAAACAAGTAGGAAGTTCTTTCTCAGCTTTGACCTTGGGGCTTGAAGCAATTTAGAAATATACTAAAAACACCGCTACTTAATTAAAACCAGGCTGTACGTTCTGTTATTTAGCTCATTTTCTATTTGCATCTTCAGGAGACACAACTATAACTTATTTAGCAGTTGTGCTTTCCAGTGCATGGGGCCTACAACATGGGGGAAGGGGCTCTTCAAACATCAATAGTTCATAAAACTTTCTAGGTGTCTTACAGGTATTTGTTAGGAGATTTAAGAACTTGTCTCATCCTCTATTAAAGAAAATAAGGAAATGTATCTTCTGTAAGACCACCCCCCTTTCAATATCCAGCTGTGGTCACTGCGTACACTGTTGAGTGAGTAGGATGAGAAGATGCCTTTCTGCAAAGACGCAGAAATGTTTCCTGGACTTGGAAGGACTCCAACACAACACTCCTCCCATGCCGGGACCCTTCTAACTGCTATGACACAGGGCCACAATTTCCAGGTGTTTTTACCAGAAGGAAGCAAGAGAGCTACTTCTGAAGGGAGATTATATTGGTTGGGCAACCTGGCATGAACTTACATTAAATGTAAGACTGGAGCTTCCAGAAAGAAGGGCTAGAAATCACAACAGAGGGAAACATTAATATAGAAGTACAAGCTGGAACTAGGGTGGTGAATTACCAGGAAAAATTTAAGGAGATAAGAAGGTAAAGACCCAAGGTACACACAGAGACCACAAATAGGCACAAAGATTAATGATTCCAAGATCAATCAATCTCAGCTTGAACCCAGTGAAGAAGTTAATAGACTTAAGAAGGAGAGGTCAAGTAAGTCTAAATGCTGCAAAGGCCAAGGAGACTGAAAAATAACAGCTTAAAACTTTTAATAAAGCCAGCCATGGTGGCACACCCCTGTAATCCCAGGACTCAGGAGGCTGAGGCAGGAGGATAGCCATGAGTCTGAGGCTAGCCTGCACTACACAGCAAGACCATGTCTCAGAAAACAAAACAAAACAAAATAATAATAATTCTAATACACAACATATACTTTTTTACCAGGCATTCTTAGACATGCTTTACACATACCAATCTATTTAATCCTCCCAAGCGACCCTATAAGGAAGGTACTTCTCTTGGTTACTTCCTTGTCACAGGAAGTAACAATACCTGATACCCACAACTTAGAGGAAAGGTTTATATTGACCCATGGTTTGTAGAGGTTCCAGTCCACAGTTGGCTGGCTCCAAGGCAGGACTGCATGGCAGAGAATTGTTCCTGGGTTGACAGGTTGGAAGAGAGGAAGAGAAGAGAGAGAAAGAGGAAAGAGGGAGAAGGAGGGTAGGAAGGAGAGAGAGGAGAGGAGAGGAGAGGAGAGGAGAGGAGAGGAGAGGAGAGGGCGAGCACATGCCTGAGTCCAAAAGCAAGTGACCAAGTGATGAAGCAAGGAGATAGGCCCTTCCAGACCATGCCCTGACTGACCCACCTCCTCAACCAGGCTTCCCTCCCGACATCACAGGTCACATTTACCTACAAACTCATCAGTGGGCTAATCCACTGATGAGTATCACACCCTCAGGATCCAATCACCTCCCAAATGCCCCTATGAGCACATCAGACTTTGGCAGGATATCCAAGCCAGAAGAATACTAATGTGATTCTCATTTTGTAGATACAGACTAACTACCTTGCCCAATGCCACACAGTTATCAGTAAGTGGAGGAGAAGGCTGGCTCCAGTGAGCTATCAGCACAATCATACCATTTATCCTCCCACTGCAAAAGCCTTCAGGAAACCAGTTTCTTTAGGAAACGAAAGCAAGCAAAAGACTTCAAGAGACAATGACAGCAGGCATGGTGGTGCACACCTGTAATCCCTGCACTCAGAAGGCTGAGGTAGGAGCTCGAGCCCAGCCTGGGTTACAAAGTGAGTTCAAGGCCAGCCTGAACTACATAGTAAAATCCTGTCTTAAAAAGACACGAGAGAGAGAGAGAGAGAGAGAGAGAGAGAGAGAGAGAGAGAGAGAGAGAGAGACAAAATTAAAACATCAAGTTTCAGAAAAAGAAAGTCACAGATAGTGAAGTCCAGAAAAGGTTCTTTGGAAGAGAATGACAGCATGACTACATCCTGAGTGTAAAAGGCCAGAGAAAGTACATAACTTATAGGGCTAAAAGAGTGAGGAGAGGGGAGATTTCCACCAATAGCGTGAATAAGAACAGGCTCTGAGGAGCACAGGTGCAGAGCACACACAGGGAATGACAGCCCAACTCGAGGAGAGTTTGGTAGTAATGGAAAATGAGCAAAACAGGTCCCAGGGTATGGGTAGTTTGTTTATTTTATTTATTTTACTTTTTTTTTTTTTTTTGTCTTCTTG